ATTAACAAAACAGTTTAATACAAGTAATAAAACTCCTTCAACTAGAAAATCACAAACCCCTTTCATAAATTTAAAATCATAAAACTCCTTCATCAACTAGAAAATGTGTCTAAACTTAGTCAATATTTTCCTATCTTCTGATTGCTTCTCTGATTAATAAAAGACTTGACTTCTGCTCGTCAATGAAGAGTCGTCTTGTTACCAAATCTTGACTAGGCAGTATCGTCACCATTGATGAAAAGTGGGTTTTCTATAATATTTGATCATATTGATAATATATGAAATGAAAATCAACGGTAGTTAGCCCACACCGAAAATGGAAAATCCATCTCCAAAACAGGTTTATATCTGAAATAGTTATGTTCTCTCTTTGGATATAAAGGGTGTCGTCTATGATGAAGTGATAGACCAAAACAAAACCGTTAATTGTTGTCAATAGGAAGCGTTGCACAAAATTATGCGGAAATGGCGCTCATCATTAGTTAATCATGAAGGCGTGTTGCTTTTATATACATGATGATGCAAGATGACAGATTCCTGAGTTACACAGGAAAAGTTTACGGTACTTAACATTAGAGATTTGCCTCATCCTGGAGGATGAGGCAAAACTCTAAAATTAAGTAAACCTTTCCTGAGTAAATCTTGATCTTGCGCCATCTGATTATCATAATTTTAGATCCTTGCAACATCTTTTGAAAACCTACACAATGTTACGTCTAAGGAATGAGCAATTTTCAAGATTGATGAGATTATTTTATCGATAATGAGAGGAAATGTTATCTTGATTAAATATATTAATTACGGCCAAAAGCATATTTCTTTTTCATCTTCAATTTGCGACAGGTTTCCTCATATTATTCAATGATTTTTTTTATTCAACACTAATTCCAGCATTATTTAGTAACTAAAGATAAAAATTTAGAAAACAACTCATGAAGATTTTAAACATTTGACTGTTATCTCTTGTAAACATGAAAACAAAAGAAGGAAGTTAATATTTGTGGAATATTTACATCGTTAAAAACAACGTTGACATTAGAAATAGGAAATGCTGACGGTTTATGCCACTAGATAAAATACTGTCAATGTTTCTTTTCTCTGTGAATGGCATCATAATAAAATTACATACTATAGTAAAAGGCAAAACCTGCAGCTGTACAAAGATAATAACAAAGTAAATTTGTTTCAATTTATTTACGATGAAAAATAACTTTTAAAGATAGTAAAATCCTCTCAGCTCTTACTTTTGATTTAACCAAAATGAAACGTCATAAAATAAAGTTATATCTGAAAGAATACACCCCCATCTACAAATATCAGGCCGTGAACGATCAACTGCCTCCACAAAATCCGTATCTTTTGTAAATCTAAGCAATTTTTGTTCCATTACTACTCTTCCCAGTCCATGTTCCATCATCTATTCTCGTTACATGTATTACTCACTTTTCTCTATGTCGTTCTGCTCCTAAGTGTGTCTTGCAAGTTTCAAATTTTCGCAGCCCTCTTTTCTCATTATCTATCCAAAAATTTCGACCGTCTCTTTCTGATTCTAAATAAGCGTTTTGTTTGCATTTTCCTTAAAACATATTCGTTGCTCTTTTGTCCGTGTTATATTTCCATAATTCTTCTGTAGAACGACGACTGTTGCCTCAAGTTTTCTCTTCATCTGTGAAGAGATTGTCCAGCATTCCCTACCTTATACAAAGGTTGATATTATATAGCAGTTTCTTAATACTTTGCTTAACTTTTGCAAGACTTTTTTCGCTATTTCAGAGTGCATTTGCATTTCTGTGTCACATTTTCCGTCGTATGTTAAAAAATTTCAGAGATAGTTAAATTTCAGTACTTGGTAAATTTTGACATATTCTATTTGTAACTCAACATTTAACTGTTCCTCTTACTGAGAACCATAAATTTTGTCTTCTTACAGTTGACATTTAGTCCTTTCTTCCAGCTTTTCTTCTCTATCTTATATTTCTAATTGATTTCCTGCAGTTTTCTTAGTGTTTGCCATCAACACGATATGATCTTCGTATCTTATGTTGTTAAGATTATTGCCACGAATAAACGACATTAGTGGTTCCGAAATCTTTTAAGTTTTGAGTCTCAGTATCAGGTTGGTTGGTGAAATTTGTTTAGCGACATATGAAGGATTATTTAACACTGAAATATTTTGGACACAATTATATGACTTCAACTATATATATATATATATATATATATATATATATATATATATATAATGGTTAGTTTGCTATAAAATGTATTGTTGATAAGTTTACTATAAATATGTTTGTTGGTAATTTTACTTTAAGTAAATATTGCTGGTAGGTTTTATATAAAAATGTATTGCTGGTATTTTTAGTATAAAAATTGATTCATAATTTTTTTGGGGGGGGTTGGAGTGGGTTATTAATTGTCTATAGCTTGGACCTTAACAGGTGCTACCATTTAGGGTCAAGGTAGAATTGGGAACAGCAGCAATTAAGAGGTGGTTCCACACTCCTCAAACCTCTAATCTCCCGATCAAAGGCGTTTCTGTGAGATGAAGATTATTGCCATATCCAGGACTCTCAGTATCAAGTAAAATTATTCGAAGCAGCATGAGAACCTTAGGACGATAAAAGTGAAAGTTAATGATATTGATGTTATTGTAAATGGTACGAGTCTTGGCATTTATCAATATTTGCAGCAGAAATCTGATGCAAATGCCACACCAATGAACAAGAAGAAAAGCAAAAAACACGACAATGTTTTGTATCCTACGTAAGCTAATAAACTACACTTAATTAATCCTATTAATTCGGTAACACCTCAATCAGTAACCCTCTACTTTGAGTGTCTATTGGGCCTTGTATTAAGTGAAGAATGAGTAAAATATCCAAAAATGAAAGTTTATCGTAATAGGCATGAGAGAAGACGGAACATAAATGACTTTAAAAAGCATATCATAATTATCCATTTGTAGTTATGATAATGTTCCAAAAGTTATAAATTCCAAATGTCCATTGTGTGGTTGCAGCTCATTGGACGCTGAATTAAATTACTTTCGTCATGTAAGTTACTTTGTTCGCTGTATATTTTAAGTATGTATTAATACTTTATTCAACATCGACCTTAAGACATGAGCAACCGTTGCTGCAATCAGCCTTCTTGGCCTAAGACCCAGTTCACTCGTCAACATGAAGAGGATCTGCGACATGCTTTCAGGAGGCCCTGTCGTATGCACCACCCACATTCCTTTGTGACTCGTGCTCACGACTCTTCAGGAGTGGGCTGGGTCTTCACAGCCATCTCTGTCACCGCCATCAGAGAATAAGGAGAGAGGATGACGATCCTGCCGCTCGGATGCGAGCTGATGCCGACGAATGCTTTATCAGGATTTATTAAACTAGAATTTGGTACAAGGTCACACGTACAGAACACTGAATAAGGATAAAACTCATTATAATAGCTATTCAGCAAAAATATTAACCACGTCAAGGTCCAAGAAATGGTATTTTATCGTAAGCATCAAATGATAGTTCGTAACTTCAATCTCAACAAAATTATATTTATTTTTTAATAAAACATTATAAAATCTAATAAAACGATATTATAATCAATGATCAGAACGAGTGTCTAAATAGATTGTATATTGTGAATTCTGTGTTAGGAGGACTTGTTTTATTAACACTCTTTCGAATGTACATAAACGCTCTCGGACATCACAGATACATCAATATGGCATTATCAATACAAGCATCGTAAAAAGTGGAAATATTGAAGTCGATTATGTAATAGTTGATACCGATTGATTTATGACGAAAAAATAAACATAGTTCGGAGATTAGTTTTAGTAATCAATATTTTTCCAAGTTATGGACTATTTAAGTTTCATATATATATATATATATATATATATATATATATATATATATATATATATATATATATATATATTATTCTGATGGACACCCAACAGGATTTTTGAGACGCAAAACAGGAGAAACATCACGTGATTTGCTTTTAGAAATCAATGAAAAAAAGAACAACTTGAAAATCATGCTCATATTAACCAATTTAATGCCATCGTATAATTTGATAATAATTATAAAATTTATTAAAACAAAAATTCAGAATTATTTAAAAGTTTCTAAGAATAGGTATTAACTATAGCTTTCTAAAAAATGTGTTAATTATAAGTTACTATCAATAAATCAAGGTCACCTCGAGGCGGTGTAATAGTTAACAAGCTTGTATCACTAGAACAATTACGGCTGAGTAGTGAGTTCAATCTTCGCTAGATGCCCCCACCCCTAGTTTCGGCCTTGTGCAACATCTAAGCTACGGTTGGAAAATTACTATTATCAATAGACCATTAATGTCCACCGGGTATATATTCACGATAAGTATAAAAGCATGCCAAGTTATAATTCAATTTTTACCAAATCAAAGTTTTCGATTAATCTATGGGAAGACCTCATGTGTCATTTCAACCTAAGTATTCATTTTTAAAAAAAACTTATTAAAACATTCTAAAGCATTTGCTTTAGCATTTCAGGATTGGCGACGGTCAAGGCTACTCTTGTCTGCTGTTGTTTGGGCATGTAGTTCTAGAAAGATCGGATTGTCTGTCTACGCAACCCGCTTCCTATACGCTCGCCTATTGTGAAGAATCAATATTCATGTTGATTCTGCGCAAAGCCAGTGCATAAAATAATATCAGTTTTCTAAAAACAGAGTGTACTTAGCGCCACAAGCAGTGCGTGTGAGTTCCTTATGATCAGCTCTGTTTTTCAGAAATGATGCCACTCTTTTCTTTGTAGGATTACTGTCCTTGAAACTTTTTTTCTGACGATTCTTGGCTCACACACATATTTATCGGTGTTTTTCTTACGAACATTCAGATATACGTGCGGTTATATGTAGGAGTGGAGTATTTTAGATAAACAGATAAAAAAAGACGAGAGAATATAATAAACAATAAGGAATAGACGCACAGATATGAACAAGCCTACGTTTATAAAGATAAACAGACTGTACGTAAGAGAGAGAGAGAGAGAGAGAGAGAGAGAGAGAGAGAGGGGGGGGGAGAGGGGGAGGGGGGAGAGGGGGGGAGGGGAGGGGGAGGGGGAGAGGGGAGGGGGAGAGGGGAAAAGGGGGGGAAAAGGGGGAGGGGGGAGAGGTGAGCTGTGTAAATTAAAACAGCACATTCAATGTTGCTATGTGTAATGTCAGAGCACTTTAGATCCAAACCTTATATAGAACGTTACATTTACAAACGTAGCTAATGAAAGAAAACTCACATATATAAGTTAGACGATTTTCTCCATCTTTTGACGGCAAACCTTGGCATCGTTTATAAGGAATAGTGACAGTACCCTTTTTGCACGATCCATATCTTTTATATATTTACTTGCGTGAGCATCTGGAAAAATGAAAAGAAAAAGAAAAAATAAAGACTAAATTATATCCGAATGTTAGAGAAAGCGCTATTTCTATGCTCGCTTCAGCAGAATTCGTACAAAACTCATCCACAATGCAGCGGGATGTTTGGAAAGAAGCCATTGCTAATATAGTCCGCTATGCTGCCAACATTCACCAGGTAGATTTCTTCCTCTTTCTCTCCCGATCTTTCTGTCTTTCGCTTTTCTTTGTGTTCTGCCAGAAATGGAAACATTTAGCGAATTTTTTTTTTCGCTCTTTGTTCTATTTATTTATTTATTTTTAAAGAAAATTCATAGTAAATTGTATTCTTTCATTTTGTTTAAAATGGATTCTTCGTATGAACCACTGAACTGGAATCGTTATGTTGATAAGAAAAGTTGACAAATCAAGATCCTCTGACCCTTGAACTTGTCTCATTTGAAAATCATTGCTCATACCATATAATAATATATATTATTATATATCATACAAATTGCTATTGTATTCAGGCATTGGCATTCAGGTGTTCTCTCCTGTCAAAATCTTTCAACACTTTTAATTTGGCACTTACTTATTTACTTTTAATAAGGCTTATTCCATACGTATAGTTTGCATTTGTTGTTTGTATGATACCCTCATTATATATACGTGCCCAAAGGCAGAACACTCACTCCCCACACACACACACACACACACACACACATATATATATATATATATATATATATATATATATATATATATATAGATCGAAAGAGAAACACACACACAGACACACACACAGAGAGAGAGAGAGAGAGAGAGAGAGAGAGAGAGAGAGAGAGAGATGTAAAAAATGTGGACATAGTAATCAACAGTGCATCGTGACTGTCAGTTTCACGCCCTAATGCAATATTCAGAGTAAGGCGAGAGTCGTGTTTTAGAGATCGCAAAGGGGAGTAAATGTGACAGTCGTCATATATTGCTGCTCCGTATGTTCATATTGTCTACAAACTCACTTACCGATGTGGGAAGTCTTCATACATAAATATAGAAAGTTTATATTTATATATATATATATATATATATGTATGTATGTATTTATGTATATATATATGTTTTTTTTGTGTGTGTGTGTGTGTGTATCCGGGTGAATTTTCCGGGTGAATTCGAGAAGTTTTAAAACTTTTCAGGAGAGACATTTATTAAATAAATATTCATAAAATCTCCTAATCCACTTCCTGAAGGCTCGATGGATGTCATCCAAAGTGTAGGTGTCCATAACACTTCTTCTCAATATCAATTTTCAACGACTGCCCTTGTGGTTCTCCCTCAGCATGAGGAACAACCAGAAGTCATATAGAGTAAAGCTAGTCAGCGAATTTATCAATTGTCTTCACAATTTGCAAACTACTCAGCTGTGGCAAGTGATGTTTAGTAGAGATTTTCCAAGCGTAGCTTTGATGTGGCACAAGGCCGAAAGTATGGGGCATCCAGTGAGAATCGAACTCACTTTTCAGTAGTAACTGATCTTGCAAGCCAAGCTTGCTAACCATTACACCACGCCGAGGTGCGTAGTAGTGTTTAGTAGGGTGTATTTAAAGAGATGTTACAGCTTCTATCCTCTTCAATCTTGAATAACAAAAGTTGGCAGGTGAGATTATTGAATTATAATAATGACATACTAAAATTGAAATAACCTAGGACACTTATAACTGCCTTTCTTAAAAAGTTCCCAAACCTCTGAAATGGACCTCATATATATATATATATATATATATATATATATAAATATATGTGTGTGTGTATGTGTGTGTGTGTATATATGCATGAAGCATGCATATCTATCTATCTATCTATCTATCTATCTATCTATCTATCTATCTTATATGTCCACTTTTACATTTACATAAGCTCTATTACAGATATTGAACACTTTTACCAATAAATATGGCAAAAGCTCAATCACTGAAATTGAGCACTTTTATCCATAAATATAGCATACCTTAAACCTATATTATTTTCATATATATATATATATATATATATATATATATATATATATATATATATATATATATATATATATATATATATATATATATATATATATATATATATATATATATATATATATATATATATATATATATATATATATATATATATATATTATAATAACATATATATATATAATAAAAAAATAAATAAAATAACATTTAAAGGAAAGAATGCTTGCATAATTGATTTATAATTAATCTAAAAATGCAGCAAAAGCTTTAATTAAAATTGCTTGTTGCTCCAAACTCTCAAAATACGAAGTACTTCCTATTTTGGGTAGTTAAATAACAAAATGAAAAAAAAGGACTACTCCTTGATTCGTTTTATTCCGAGAGTTAACTTCAGACGAATAATGGTTTTATTGATGGTATCTATCTTATACATAAGTGAGGGGCGTATCTGTATTTGCAATATTTCCAATGCAAACATTTCTCCACTCTATCGATTCCTAGAAATATAAATATGGAGTTGGGAAAGAAATGCAACAATCGTCAATGACAAGTTTACGTTGGAAAACGTCGAAGATACGGGGATGGTTAATTTCAACTTAAACTTTTAAGATATCGGCGTTGGATGTATCCAAATTGTTTTTAATTTTATCAATATTCTTTTTAAATACTCTACATAGTAATAACAGCAATTTTGCTATAAACACGAAAGGGATCTTCTAAAAAATACAGTCAATTTTAGTTAATAGTATTAGGTGAGGGTATAATATCTACTTAAAGAATGAAACTTTAAATAAAGCCAAAAGTAATTTATTATGCCGAAAATATATTGCAAGTGTACTAATTTCAGGCTCTTCCAAGGATCGTACAGCCTATGACCTTTCTTAACGAATATACTATTATTAGAATATGGAATACTTAAAAACAATAGAGATATAAAAAATGAAACGCATCACATTAGTGTTCTTTTCTATTTTGTAATTCAAAAACTAAGAAAACTATTAAGAAAATATATCATTAGAAATAAAGAAGAGAGTACTGATTTGTTAGGCAGTATCACTCCTCCTATATGGCGGTGAATGCTAGACAATCTCCTCGCAGATGAAGAGGAGTCATAAAGCAACAAAAACGTGCATGATGAGAATACGATACGACCGAACATGTAAGCAACGATGAACTTCTAGAAACACTTGTACTTAACATCAAGAAGTGACATTTGAAATTTCTAGGGTACATAACGAGGAAAGAGGACTTGGAAAATAGGATACTCACAAACAGATTAAAAGCAAGCCGCACATAGAAAAACAACTCATAACCTACGTGGCGAGTTTGAGTGAATGGATGACAGAAAGGGTTTGAGAGAGATAGCAAAAGCAAAAAATTATCGAGAGCTGAAGGGACACGGTAGACAGAAGAAGAATTCCACTAGCGACTAATTCATAGTACCCTACTTCAATTAACTTCAGTCGAGATCATAGAGTTCAAAAATCCAAACTGCAGTTAATTGTGAACGTTATACTACTTTACATGGTTGTATATTACATTATGGCTCTATATATTTTCGCCAGGCATACATACGGTTTTGAATTTGGAGTAACCCTTCTCTTAAATTATTTTGCTGGGGAGTCCAGTCTACCCTGCTATTAACCAGCAATTCATCCTTTTCCGAAGAGGATTTCTACGAAAAGAAATCTAACGAACTCGATTGGAATTCGATCTGAGATCGCTGATTTCTTGTCCAGAGCTGTTAAACCGTTATTCCCTTATACGCTTAGAGATATATTTGTATATCATATCTTCTATATTCACATATGTTAATGGAGAGATAAATGCAAAAAAGAGAAGTGAATTTCATGTGGAAAAGTTCACAATTAACAGTCAGATCAGGCAACAAATCATTTGAAAGACTCAAAGGGTTAACTTTTATAGTATATATATATATATATATATATATATATATATATATATATATATAATTTCCTATTGATCGAAATATATAGAAAAGGAAATATGAGTTTTAAGAGAAGGCCTCTGTACCCAAAATGGCTGATGCGAATTCCGAGGCAATCTATTTTTTTGTCTCAGTTATTTTCAGTTGGTTATTGATAAGTTGTCAGCCGACCGTCGATCGGCTTTGATGTTTCGACTCTATTGAACTTCTGTTGCTGTTGATGTTTCCTCTTGTAAGACTTTGATGTGCTGATAACATCACTGCTGACATTTCGAGTGATTTGCTCAGCAAGTGATTTTGTCGTGATTACATCAGGGTTGTAAGAACTGAAGACGGAGAGATCGAGAAATTCACCCCCGTGAGCGCATGCGCATAGGTATCATCATCGTCATCATCATTATCGGCTTCATCGTCTACACGTGCAGGTTAAGTAAAATACAGAAACAAGAAATAGCTTTTCCTCTGAAAACGCAAACGTACAGAAACATATTAGGAAATGCATTCATATATACTATCTATCTATCTATCTATCTATCTATCTATCTATATATATATATATATATATATCAGGCGTTCTTATCTATCTACCTTATCTATCGACCCATATCTATCGACGTTCATACCTTTCTCAGATGATTCATCTGTATCTTTTATTTCATTATAGTTCTATCTCTATCTATCTCTCTGTCTATCTCATTCTATTTATTACATTATCTCAGACCATTCACCTCTATTTATCTCATTATAGTCATATCTATCTATCTATCTATCTATCTATCTATCTATCTATCTATCTATCTATAACAGTTTTCTTCATGTGTAGCTATGATACATATGTGTGAGCTATGGAACGCTCGAGAACCTTACAGAAAAGTGTTTCTCAGTAGGTAGTACGCACACTCCTTGACTATTGAAGCATTTAACTTGCTCTCAACAAGGAGACTGGATAGCCACCCTTTTTTGTGCTCGAATGAAGACGTTGAGTCGGCCTAAAGAGAAACCGCTGATTAGCAGCATAAAAGACTAACAAAACATAAGTGAACTCCGTGAGAGAAAAATAATAAAAAAAATAGAGCAATACATAAAAGATCCCATTATTAGAAAGAAATCAAAATTCTCTTGCAGACATAACAAAGCACATCAATAGTACCTCTTTTATCAGCAAGATAAATGGAATCGGCGGATCGAGTCTAGCGTTAGTCTACTGAGCTCATTTTCGCACAAATGCTCTTGGGAAAGTATTGTATCTCATTTCCCGTCATGACTAGATAAAATAGCAGGGTATACTGGGCTCTCTAGCCTTGAATGTCAGTTTAAAAACATGGAGAAAGTGAAGGAAAACCACTCCATTGCGAAGAATACGTAACATTTCACAGATAATAAAGAAAACGAATCTTTGGAAAGTCATAATCATATACATCCTGAACGGACATGGAACTTGAAAAACACTCAATGGTTAACATGTCGACACCGAAAGCCATTGAAACTGATTCAATCCTCAGTGAATGCTTCAAAAACTTGCCTTATGTATGCTTCTGTCACAAACATGCTTTTTGAAACGAATACGCACACTTGTATGCATGGAGAGTACTCCTCCTTGGGAATATGGACGGAGAATTTGCTTCGAGCGACAGTGTTTAAATCTAAGGAAAGTTTCCATCAGTGATTTTCATAATGAACTTTCTTTGTCAGAAGTATCTATGTGGCATAATCTTCCAAGAAGAAATATATGAATTCTGAAAGTAAAAGTCCATCAACATACGAATTCACTTTTCATCTCGTCCGACAAGTGACAGAACATTTGGATTTAGTGTTCATACTTGAAACAAATTTTAATTCTGTCTGAATTTCTGGGATGATGCGTTATTATTTACATTATTTACAGTCTGACTAATATCTTTATATT